TACTGATAAACACCTGAACATCAGCAGGAGAGGACTCTTTAAAGTAGAGACACTACATACTGATATACACCTGAACATCAGCAGGAGAGGACTCTTTAAAGTAGAGACACTACATACTGATATACACCTGAACATCAGCAGGAGAGGACTCTTTAAAGTAGAGACACTACATACTGATATACACCTGAACATCAGCAGGAGAGGACTCTTTAAAGTAGAGACACTACATACTGATATACACCTGAACATCAGCAGGAGAGGACTCTTTAAAGTAGAGACACTACATACTGATATACACCTGAACATCAGCAGGAGAGGACTCTTTAAAGTAGAGACACTACATACTGATATACACCTGAACATCAGCAGGAGAGGACTCTTTAAAGTAGAGACACCACATACTGATATACACCTGAACATCAGCAGGAGAGGACTCTTTAAAGTAGAGACACTACATACTGATATACACCTGAACATCAGCAGGAGAGGACTCTTTAAAGTAGAGACACCACATACTGATATACACCTGAACATCAGCAGGAGAGGACTCTTTAAAGTAGAGACACCACATACTGATATGAACCTGGAAATGAGGATAATATATCAGCCAGAATGAACCATTCATATTGTTGCAACCCTCCTCCACGATGTGACCCTCCAGTTCTTCTCACTTCCAGCTCTTTGGGTTCTCTCCATCATAAATCCACCCAGATCTTCAGTGGATGATCTCCCATTAGGTTGTGCAGTTGCACAAGGGGGATCCTAAAGTGTCGACCTCTAAGAAGCCCTCTGTAGCACCCCCCCAGCCCTGTAACCTTGTGTCAGGCATACATGATGTAGAGATGTAGAGGCAGGAGTGACCTTTGTCCTTCCTGGAAAAATGACCTCACCAAAGCCTGTTCAAATCTGTAGAAGAGGCATGTCTCTGGAAAAGATCTCCAAGGGTTTCTTTGTTTCATTAAAACATACCAATATTAAAAAGGAAATAAATAGATGTATAAAACATGACAAGGTCAACACTTTAATAATTAGCTTGTCTGTTTTCTTCTGTGTTCCTCTTTAACAAAAAGGAGGATGGCATTAATAATAAAGAGCGGTGATCTCAGCCTCTTCAAAAGAAGGACGGAAATGTGCAGGCCAAATGTGTGGAGCTGAGAGAAAGTCTGCAAACAGGGATTCTAAGTGATGACAGTTACTTATACAACAGCAGCTGCAGGTCATTACAGAACACTTGTTTAAAACAGAACATTCTAGTCTTGGTTTGTCATGGTAAAACCAGCTTTTGCTAAAAGGAGTAATAAAGCTTAGTGTGATGCCCCTGTGGGTTCATCAGTAGAGAGGGTGTGGCTGTTCTGTCTGCTGCATTGGCTGCAGTGATTGCAGTAATTCAGGGCACCTGGGTCTGGTGTCCTGCAGCTGTTTAAAGCCTCTCTGCTCCTCCATGTTCTCGCTCTGCTTTCCCCTGCAGACACCTGGGTTTTGGTTGAGTATGAAGTACGGGTTTTCTCAGTTGCTCCACTTTGTTGCACTCTATGAATTTGGCTAATTTGAATTGTTTGTTCTAAATAAACATCTTTTGTTAAACGTTGACATGGTGTGTCTCCTCTTTGTTGTGGCCTTTTGAGCCAGGTTGTAACACTTAGTAAATGTTATATACTATATGAATTAACCTTTGCTTTCTGCTGTTTGCCTCTGTGAGGAACCTTTCTTTCAAACTGAAAATGAGGTTGGTATGGAAGCCGTGAGAGGCTAATCTGATATAAAAAATGATTTCTAGTAATCCATATTCTAACTTTGCATTTATGAAAACAGGTGAAATAACGTTAACAGACTAATAGGACTAGAACATTTATATTTTCTCCCAGATATGTTTGTTTGTACACTCTAAACATAATGTGCAAATACTGAGGGTTAGCAAGTTATGCTACATTTCTTTTATGTTTTTCCTTTGGCTACAAAACATGTGACCTATTTAGAACAAAGTGGTGATGTAATTCAGCCTCATGTGGCCAAGAGAGGTAATCTGAAGAAAATAGAAGATCGCAAAATGTATTTTTCCCATGGCTAAACGTTTTTGTTCTAACTGTTTCACAGATTTTGAAAATAACTTAATTCAACATATGATCCTGGCAAAACCTTTTTCACCTGCTCATAAACACAGGAGATTGAGATCAGACTGAACAAATGGATCATCAGACTTCATGTCTCTCACTTGCCTTGCAGGGCTTAGACTACGCATGCATGGGACCGAAGAGTCATCTAAACTTCCCTGGCCTTCTTTGAAGCAACATGTGACTGTCTGACTCGCTGTTGGACCCACAGCAGTAAACAATATACACTAAGAGCCAATTCTGAAAAAAAGGACCTTTGCTTCAAAGCATTCTCCCAGCTGCTTCACAACACTCCTTGACATATTCTATATATTATATGAACTAGTAAAACTGTGTTTTTTTTATCCGCACGCATAGAGTCACTCAGTGTTACTGCTCTGAAAGGCTTTTAAAGAGCATAGCATCATCTCATTTAGTTTACAGGACACTCACTCAGGGTTTTCAAATGAGCTTATTAGCCTCACAGATGTCCTGTGTTTGTGACTCATCTACCTGTCAGTGTTAATATGATTACAAAAAACGTTTTATTCACAGCATGTGAAGTGCATTTGAAGTGCTGAGAAAGGTTTTTTCTTTTTGTTTTCGAGCAGAAGAAATGCATGCAGGGGAACAAGTAACATTATTGAACAGAGCAGACATATACTTATGTCTGCATTTAGTTTTGTATAAACCATACTTTTAATAAGTGTTTTCATTATCTAGGTTCTATCATCAAGAACAGTTATTATTGATGTATTACATTTTATAACCATCATAATGAGTTTAATATTTCAAATGACTGCAGACAGAGAATCAGGTTTTAAAACATAATGTACTTTATGCTATTCTTGAAATGATATGCTACCTTAATAACAGTGAAAAGTGATGTAAACTAGAAATCCAGACAGAAATGTAGAAAAACAAATTGTATTAAAAATCAACATTTATTTATCACTATAATTAAAGAGGCCTATGGCTTAATTCTTTCCACCCTTTTTATGGTCATAAAACACATTCGGACCATACGGGGATTGAACCTGTGACCTTTGCATTATTAGCAGTGCAATATGAGTTGTCCACGCCTCACACAAAGGACAGCCGATCATCTCATTGGATATTTAGATTTGAGTTTTACTTGCACACATGTCCACATTGAGGTGCATGTAACTTTTATTTCTGCTCTGATATACATACCTATCTCCGGCTGTGCAACTTCAGTGGAGCATTTCATCAGGCTAACAGATTAGTGGGGGGGTGTCTGTGAACACATTTAGTCTGGTTGTGACGGACACAGGAGTGATCGGGGTCAGTTACCTTCTCACGTTCACACATGCTGACTGACTGAGGCAACACATGGCTGAGTCAACACCAGTTTAAACAACAAGCACACAAACATTTCTATCAATAGGTGAAAGCAATCTGATGCATTGACTGTATTACTGAAACAAATGAATACTGAATAATAAAGGAATAAAGTACAGTCTTGGTTTTAAGTTACAAATTAAGAACCTTCACAGTGGGCACAATGGCAATTTCTGTGTGTGCAGTGGTCACTAATGAGCCAATTTTAAAACAAAGTAAACCATGTCATGAAATAAATGAGTTCTGCTTCACCACACATGCAAGGAATGGCTCTGATGTCACGCTAAATCACATCAAATGTCTGCCACTTCAAGCTATATGCAGATCAAATCAAGTAAATAAGAAGTGGGGATTCTTCTTACCACCAGCCATCTATTTCCTAGAAATGAGGAACAGATGGCAGCCAGATATGCCTTTGCAAAATGAAATGTCCTTCACCTCTCCATGATGTTCCTTCAAGTTAATTACAGACACAGAGCTTTGATTGTAACGGTTATCGTTAACTTTGAAAATTGTGTATTTTCCGCATGTTTTATCATTTTGAAACTGGCTGTACTCGTGCTCAGACATGTTTGTGGACTGAAGGTTGGTGTAAGTGCAACTCAAGGTATACATATAGACCAGCCAAAATAGATGTTTCTGATTATATGCACTGATATGAAGTTACTGCTGGGTAGCTGGAATATGCATCCTCACACATTATGTGACTGTTGATGCAGGTAAATGACAAACTAACATTTTCTTCATTTAGCATTTTCGAGATTAAAGACTAAATGTTGCAAATAACGTTGGCCTCCACCCTTAAATGGTTTCTGTATCCTTTGGGATACATTTTGACAGGCTGTGTCCATGTGTAACATGGGTGTGAATAGTGTAATTACAGTGCAACATGGTTCTAATAACAGTGTATTATAGGTTCAATAACAGTGTTACATGAGTCTAATTTGGGTGCAATACGGGTGTAACGAAAGTGTAACATGTGTGTAATAGAGGTGTATTAATGTGTAATATGGGTGTAATTACAGTGTAATATGGGTGTAATTAGTGTAATATGGGTGTATTAATGTGTAATATGGGTGTATTAATGTGTAATATGGGTGTATTAATGTGTAATATGGGTGTATTAATGTGTAATATGGGTGTATTAATGTGTAATATGGGTGTCGTATTGCTTTTACATGGGTGTTATATGGTTCTACTAACAGTGTAACAACATAAGTGTGATAAAAGTAATATTGGTGTAACAATGGTTTAATAATGTGTCTTATGGGTATATTACCACTGTTATATGGGTGTAATGTAGAAAATAGCAATCAATTACTTTACCAAAATATTGAATGCCTATTTAATGGTTAAAGTTTATCCATACGTTCCAAGTTTGATTGATTCAGAAAAGTTTAACGATTATTCTTGATATTTGGAATACATTTTTGAAAAGCATGTTTTCCCTTATGCCTAGGCCTAGTGCCAAATGCCAAATGTATTTTAATGTTGGACACCTTTAAATGAACCATCCTTCGTTCTTAAAGCAATACAAGAATACTTAAATAGAAACAAAATAATATTTATTCGCCAGTCAAAACATGAAGTTCAAAATATGAGGTCTGAGGACTGAAATCCTCACACTGATGTGCGTCTGCAGAGCCTTCTGTCACCTGGCAACACGTGTAAGGGGGATTCTTTTAAGACCACCTGTACAGTACGGTTTCTATTGTGTGTTGTCTTAGCAATAAAACATACTGACAGTGATGACAAACATGTTTCTCTTTTATATTCATGTATCAGCTGAGTTTCACAGCGCCAAAGAAAGAAGAATATAATACAACATTGTGTCTGAAAGATTTGGTAACATCATCAGGGGAAGCTAGTGAGTGACATAAATAGGCATTTTGGAGCTTGCAGCGCTCATGCGAGATGGTGGTGTGTGTTTTTGGTACATCCCTGAAAGAAGAGTCTTTACAAACATATATCCCCCTCTGTACCGGGCGAGCGAAAAAGGGTGGCCGTGGTGTTGGTGGGTTATCAGTTCTCGAGGAAAGCCACGTAGTCAGTGAGTCTGGCCAACTGCTGCTCATTTGGAACCAATGAGACGGGGGGAGGATCTGTGGGGAGAGGAGGAGAGGCTGAGTCAGAGGGGGATTCTCTTTGTGCCAAGCACCATTGATCTTCTTCTCCCCGATTTAAGTTGGTGGCTCAGCAGCACGTGTTTTAACTCAGACTGACTCAGCAGGTTATGTTAACCTCACTGTGACATATGAGCTCACTGCCCCACCCCCCGGACCTGTTTAACAACACTACCTACATGTGCTTGGAGATCATTACTCTTTACATATCATCAGAATCATCAGAATGATTTCCTGTGTGACATCAACAACCTAAATTACTAAACACTATTTAGAACCACTGGTGCTGTGGAGGGAGGGTTTGGTGGAGGGAGGGTTTGGGGGGGGGGGGCGGACATGAGGATTAATGTTGAGTGGGTTAGCCTGTTGAGTCGGACATGTGCGCAGCAGATGCTTTATGTCGGATGATTACAGAGAGAGACATACCGCAGCCTCCTCCTCACTGTTAGAGAACACTGAGCATAAATCTGAAGTTTTCTCTTGGGAGACAGAGCGATCAATAACTGGTGAGGACATGTGATGATGTGGTAGAAAGAAACACAGTAGAATAAAAGGAAAGGAATGGATGAGGGAAATATGGATCTTAAATAAGAGTAGATTTAGCAAATCACATATTTCAAGAGATTCCAGGAAAATAAAATATAATTGATCGTTCTTTAATCCCTGCTCTAACAGTGTCAGTGTGTCTGATTATATATAGGAGAAGGTGGGCTCGGCATTAATCCTGAAGAGAAGACAGTTTAGGCAACAGAACAGATGTGAACAGTTGAAGAGAGCAATACTGCCACCTACCGGGCTTTTTGGGCATCACCATCCTGGTAGCAGGGTCGGCCTGCCAGCCCTGACTCACCACCCCTGAAGACAGGAGAAGAACACAAGCCTCATCAGCAAATGTAGAAATGTGTGTTTAATGGCAATAAGATTCAATTCATCACTGTACAAATTGCGGTTGGGAATGGGAATGTGACGTCATTAACAGGAAGTCAGACATCTTTAGAGGATACTGGAAAATGCAACCTGTTGACTGGTAGAGTGAAGTAGTGTATCTATTTCACTTTAAACCTTTTAAACATGGTCAGAAGGCACTATTGTGTAACTGATTGGAACAGTCATCCCATGACCAATAAACAAAGGAAAAAAAAGATTTTGAGATTACATTTTGTTCTTTTAAGAAATGGAAAGTTAACAAGGGAGAGGTTAACATCATCAAGATGTGCGATGTGTTTGATATCAGCCATCTGCTGACTGTTTGCTCCAAGTGTCAGAAAGAAATGCTGAACTACAGTAACACAAACCACTACCCAGGGAATGATTTAAACATGAATTGTCACAATACATAACTATACCAGTAGATTAATAATGCACAATTAGCCGCCGTGGAGTTAGCATAACAAACTATCTTACCTCGGTCCAGATGATTCTATAGTTGCCGTTAAACCTGTAGATCTGAATGTAATGTATTTTTGACACAATAACAGTGATAAGATGACATTTCCTGTGTGGATGTAAACGTACCCTTTACTGCCTCTTCCACAGAGTATCCCACGAAGGCAGCGAAGTCGTCTGCCGCCAAGGAGGTGTAGGCCTGAGCCACCAGACTGTAGGCCCTCTGCCGCGTGCTCTCTGAAGGACGCATCAACAAAGGGACATTCAGATCACACTAACATGCACACAAGCTGAGACTGCGCTCTATTTAAAGAGCATACAGTACTGGGGCAACAGCAACTTACACTCACACTTATGTTATTTTAGAGTCATGTTTCTTGTGTTGCTAATTAGCACAAGGTTCTACACTGTGAGAAACGATCAATAACAAGGGACAGGTCAAGGTTTTGAAGCCTGGGGCTGTTTGAAGAAAAAACAAACACTGAATAAAAGTTCTATGCTTTGATCATTAGCAGACAGAGGGGACTATGTGTGGTATAATGTTAGGTGAGCGTTTTTACGAAGGAAGTAGGATTGTGTGTACGTTTTTCAACGTGGTTATGATCAAAACTCTCGCCTGATATTCATAAAAGGTGGTGTAAGGGTGTAGCAAGGTCCAAAGCATAAACCAAATTCAAATCACGGAGCATAAACACGCATCATTCGCTTTTATTTACAGATAGAAACAGTCTTGATTACTTTCTATTTTCCTGTTCTTGCAAATATAGGTAATGTGGTAATGTGTGTTTGAGTTTGAGTTTCTGCTGCTCTCCCCAAAAACAGTCACAAACCATTTCATAACTCACAGGAGTGTGTTTGAGATGGAAATAAATAGCTATTCAGAGCATACACTGGATTGTCGGCCTATAATTGCTTCTCACATCTGGGTTTGATTTAAATCAAATGGTGCATTTGTTGTTAAATAAACTGTGATCTGATTATGATGAACTTATGAGCTAAAACAAATAAGCACATACAACTTTCCACAATCATGAATGTTTAAAAATAGATCATGTTAATTGAAGCATTCTAAAGATGAGGCATGGATGTTGTATGCTGAGCAGTGCTTACACTACACACCACTGAAGTCTTTATCAACAGCTACTGGCTCAGACTTCTAAAATGTCAAAGCTGGCACCTTTATCTTGCCTGACTTTGACATGGTGCAGTAGCTTGTGGAGATAACTTTTAAGAGTGGCAGGCCCAACAAAGCTCACACACCGGCACGTATTTGCTGCTGCTCCTGCAGCTATCACGTAAAAGCCTCAGGGTTGTGGCCTTTGGTGTTTTATAGCCTAGCAACGGTGTATGTGTACCAACAGTCAGTCTGTTGCAGCAGTAACAATAACAAGTGGGATGAGAAAAGACAGCTGTGATGGGGAAGGCCGGAGATTTGTCAAGAGCACTTTGCTGTCCAAGAGGCTTCCAGTTCGCCAGTAGATATATTATAAATAAATATTATTTTTGGGGTCCTTTTCTTACAATTTATCTTCTTTGACTGTGTTTATGTATGCACCATATACACCAAGGCAAACTCATCATGTGTTAAAGGTCCCATGTCATGCTTTTCTGGTTATTACCCGTCCCCTTGTGTGCTATGTAGCTTTTTATGCATGTAAACGGTCTGCAGAGTCACGCCGTTATGTTACGTCCACGGAGCCGTTACGTTTGGACCAATCCGCGGACCTCCTCACACACACACGGCGGGACGTTGCGAGGCTCGCTGCTGCGAGGAGCGGGACACTGTGAGCTGGCTCACTGGTGTGGGGTCGGCGAGACGGCGAGACAGCGAGACACCGCGGAACTCATCCTGGGCACACACACAAACTCCCAGCCAGGCTGCGGGTGTGTGTGTGTGCCCAGGCTGAGTTCCGTGGTGTCTCGCTGTCTCGCAGACGGCCACTGGGCTCACAGGGGGGGGGGGGGGGGGGGGGGGGGGGGCAGGAGCTCCAACAAGCCGTGTAGGACAGAGTGAATACACATACTATACAGAGATGCTGTATGAGAAACCAATGTGAGTTTGGAACATTGCACAATATAAATCTATTCTAGTAGACCTCAACAATGGAATTATGATCAGTAGAAATGGCCATGACATGGGACCTTTAACAAACTCATTTCTCATTCTGAAAATATTTATGAATCATTTTGTTATGGTTTTAATCAAAGTTTTGGCATTTAGCCATTATGATGATTAAAGCAGACTATTTAATGGTCTGGTTCCAGAATATTGTAGATACAACAGTATTGTCTGGTCATTGTTGTGTCTGACAGAGGACTGAAAGAGTTGTTTTCCCTTTGCTCTAGTTAGTATAAAAGTCCCATGTTAGTGCAGCACCTATCAAACTGCATAACCCCTACTCCCTGTTGTGTTGGAATAACTTCTTCGCACCTGGTTGTGAATTAGAAACAAAATGTGGACTCTGAGCAAATGCTCCCAACACAGCCATGCATGTCATCTCCGGGGGCTTTTCTGTAACCCAGTCCTCAGGCAGACATGTATTTTTACCATGGCCTTTTGACCGTTGGGAGGTGACTCGTGTGGCAAATGGAGCGGCCTTTCTTAGCGTAGCCCTCTGGCCCTCCAGAGCTGCTGAGCAAGACGTCCATGAGTCGGAGGACAGAGTTTTATGGAGGAGAAACAGGACCTGGCCTGTTCTTCCCTGAGTCTATTCCAGGGCTGCTATCATCTCTCACCCTCTCACCTCTTAAAAATAGACCCCACATTTAACCAGCAAAGGCAAAGCACACATGGCAAGGGCTTTTATTTTTAAATTCAGACTATTGCCAAGTAAGAGCAGCATAGACTGGGAACTATTTAGTTGGAAGCACTCCAAACGCCTAAAATAATACTGGGTTTCCTTCCTTTATATGTTCCTAACCTTAAACTTAATGTTTAAGTTTGGCAAATAAAGCAAATAGGAGCTTAACATCATGCAGCTTTATTCCACATTCCATTGAAGACAAATTTGGTGATTACAGATCAGCTGATCACCAGTTCAACACAAACTTGGACAAAGTGAGAAAAACACAAATAACTAATATCAAAGGAAACATGTAAGGAAAACAATGTGTAATCAATCTTCAGACATGTTATTTTAACAATTATCTAGACCGATTTCTCCATTTAACTGGCTCAGAAGTACAAAAGTATAAAAAAAAGTTAAGAAAAACAATGAATACGTCATTAAAATATTGCACTGAACGTATGGGCAAGGCGCCCACCTCCACCATAACCCTGGATTTCTTTCAACATCAGATGCAGTCCCTGCCATAAACAATTGTGTCAAAAACCTTCAAAAGCACATGTTATAGTTTTTTCTACAAGTCCGTAACTAGTTAGATTTTCATTATTCCTCCTCCTCCTCCTCCTCCTCCTCCTCCTCTGCATCCTCAAACTCATCATCATCAACCACTCCAAAGTCCATTTTTGCCAGCACTGCCTCAACATGCTCTGTCGACAAAGTGAAGTGGTCCATCTTCTCGAAGCCTGGCTCTGGCCGGTCTTCCCCCAGCGAGCTTTTAGCTGCATCCTTGGTCTGCGTGATGAGGCTCTTGGAGGCCAGCAGGAACTCTGCAGGCCCCCCCTGCTCCAGCGCCCTCACAGCAGTGTCCGTCAGCTCTGAACTGGTCTGCAGTCGCTCACTGTAGCGCTGAGACAGCGCCCGCAGTGCTGCCACCTTTTCGTCTTGCTCTTTTCCAATCTGCTCTAGTAGAATGGTCTTGCGCTCCTCCAGGACAGCGTATAGCAGGTCAAAGCGTTCCGCTAAACCTTGCTTAGCACTCTGAGCGTTTTCCTGCACAGCACGGCAGGCATCTTCCATCTGGTTGAGCAGGGCTTGCAGGCGGCCATTGCTAGCTACCAGGGTATCGATAGCATTACTCAGTTCACTCTTCTGGGTCTGGTAAACACTTGCTAAAGGTGCCACCTCACAGTCCTTATGCTGGCCAAACACTTTGCACATGGAGCAGGTGGGTGTCTGGCAGGTAGTGCAATAGATGTTGATCTTCTCGTCCTCGTGTTCTTGGCACATGGGCTCTTTGGATTCTTTAGGCTTCAGGGTGGGTTCTGTGCTCCCGCTGTTGCTCCCGCTGTTGCTCCCTTCTTGCTGCTGCTTATAGAGGTCGATAATATTTTCAACCAACAGGTTACGCTGGAGCCCATGCACACCATGACGGTCTAGCACAACCTCAAAGCGGCAGGTAGGACAGCGGAAGACGCCTCCGGAGAAGCGGTAGGGGTTGCGTGAGTCGTAGAGGTCGCTGGCACAGCTACGACACAGGTTGTGCTGGCAGGGCAGGATCACCACAGGTTTGGTGAACATTTCCAGGCAGATGGGGCAGCTCAACTGCTTCTCCAGGCTATCCATTGGGCTTGGGGCCCGAACAATAGACCCTGTCCTCTGAACGTCCATAATAATGTCACTGCCTAGCGTTAGGCCAGTAGGTTTTTCTTATTTTAGGAGAGAAAAATACAAGTTGTGCCCTTGGTTGGTTTTAAAAAGTTACCAAAAACAAGGTCAGACTCCTGGAGCTTCTCCTTGGCGTGTGCTGCTGCTTGTGAAAAGCTGATATCTATTCTGGGAGGTGGCAGCTCTGTCCTTTATACCAGCCCCTCACAGCTGGTGACATCTGATACCTTCCACCAACGAGAGCACACATTCCTGCCTGCTTGCTGCCTCGGGATCTTTTCACAGAAATGGCCCCCTCCTACTCAGTGCTGCATGTGTCACTTGTCCCAGCGTCTCCTCTCTATCAGTGGTGGACGAGACAACACAGGTCCATGTGACTGGCTCAGCAGAGAGGGAGCTCAATCTTATTGGTAAACAAGTCAATGTCAACATCCTGTGACTGCTGTGTTGTTTTCACTGTTTTAACTTCTTTCATTTGTTATTTAATTTGTTATTACCTAGTTTGCCATTAATATAATTTATTTAGATAACAACAAAAATGTAGTAACTTTGTCATTTTCTATACTTCTGACGGTAATACATGTATATCAACCAAAGTAACATCATTATTAAATCATAAATTATGTGTAGGTTAAATCAACATTTTTTAAGAAAAAAGAAGAAAAAAAACTATTCGTAGGTAAATGTTTTTCAATTATGTAGATTATCTTTACAAAAGTATGTTGAGGTTTGTCACTGTTGTCAGACAAATTGAGAGATGTTACAACATGGCATGCTTGTAAATACAAATGTACTTGCCAACAAGTCCTTCATTATGAATATCAGTTCTTTATGCCTTTTTTAAAACGGCTTTATCAAAATATTTGCAAAAGAGTAGAATGTGTGCATTTACATTCAAACACTCTTAACTTCCCACACCCACCAGGAAGCATATTATGGCCTACTGCACGTCACCATTCATGGCACATCAACAAGTAGAACCGTAAACAAGAGGGAGAAGCTATTCTTAAACTCTTGCACAAGTTAAGCATCACATGATGCAGGAACCCAAACAACTGCAACCACATGTTACCACCTGAACTGGCCTTCAACATATAATAATATGCCCCGCTACAGATAATGAAAAGGTGTTATCAAGAGTCTCATTTATTCCTAAATTCCAACATGTTATTTTCTCCTGGGTTAAATGATAGCTTAAGCTGTTTTTAGTGTAGGAAATCAAATATCCTATTTATATCAATTTCCCAACATGGAATTTTGCTACATTTTCGTCATAGCCAAATGTGTGAATATCATGTTTATCAAGTGTTGAAAAGTCTTAGGAGCTTGAAGGACACAAAGGAATCAGAGTGAATCTTCACTGAAGACCTTATTTTTACCTCGAAGTGCCTCCATGACTGGAAGGATGTTCTCTGTCCACTGGAAGGCTGCGATTGTTGTGTAGACCCCTGGAAAGTCCCGTTGCCAAATGCGTTGGCCAACAGCCCAAATAGATGTTAATTCAGGGTTTGCCTGTAAACAGTAAGTGGAAAGGCATTTTAAAAGCATTTAGTATGCAGTCCCACCCAAATGCTAGGATATTAAATCACACTACTTCAACATTTCAAGTGACCTGTCCATTAAATATAAAACATCCGGCACATTTAAACGTTTTTTACACTTTTCAGTTAATGTATTTGTAAACATATTGTACCATACAGATCATGACAGAGACAATCAATTCTGCAGTCCTCAGCATGACAGCGTGGCCCTGAATGACTCGGTCACATTACAAAGATTCAGTGAAACCTCGACTGAACTGCACGTCTGTTTACAGAGAAGAGGTTGTAAAAATATATATATTTCAATGTCTAGTATTTGAAGCCCCCCAATATTGTCAACAGTTGTGGGCACTTTGAAACATGTTGTATGCAGTTACCCAGTCAGCTGAATCTATTTATTTCCAGTTGTTTTAAAATAAGTTTAAATTATCAAAGAAATCCAACTTGTGTATTTTCGACTTCTTATGAGTTATGGAATTATTACGGGGGGATACTGAACAACATTTATTTTTGAGCTCTCACTGCTTTAAAGCATGGCTGTTATTATCCAATAGTGGTGCAGGTGTAAATGACTTCTATATTTCAGTTAAAGGGGACCTATCATGCAAAATGCACTTTTGTACGTCTTTTATACATGAATATGTGTCCCCGGTGTTCCAGGGAACTCACCAAGTGTCAGAAAACACAACCCTCTCTATTTTCCTCCATACCCAAATCTCTAAAAAAGGGGCTGCAACGGATCTGATCAAAACTGATCCAGATTTGAACACTGTCCTGACGTCAGGACGGTGGCGCTACGGCTATTGGGCCAACTCCACCAATCAGGAGGAGACAGCCACGGCCATTGCCGTTCGAAAGCGCTGGAGACGCTGTAGTACATATGCCAGGCCTGTAGGTGGTGCTGTTCTCACTGAATCAGCCCTTGCTAAAAACAGATCTAAAACATGTCAAATTGAGCAAAATGAGGCATGGCTAAAATGCATGATCTGTTTGGTATTTTGAAAAAAAAAAGTATAAATATGCCTTATATAGGTATGGTCCTACACTATATTATTCAAATATAGCATGATAGGTCCACTTTAAACATGAGGTCACTATGATTATAGTGTCTTAGTAGGAAAACAATCGATCTGAAAGTAATATGGGTTCACAGGGTTAAAACACCAAATCATATTGGTGTTGATGTAGAGAGCAACGTCCTTCAGAGCTGAGCCTCTGAAGAGAAGTTAAATACCATAGGATATACGTGTGAACGGCATCTTCAAGTTGGAAATTGGTACGTTTAATAACTACCATATGAAGCAGCACAATTAGGACAAACACGTGTATCTTTAGCAATGTCTCCTTGTGTCTTTTAATGCTTACCGATTTTATTGCTTGGGGAATCCGTTTCCAGAGATACCTGCCATTATTCCTGTTGGAACCAACCGGAACAGGTCAGAAAATACACTTTGAAATGTGCAGGTTTGGGCAGCAGTAGGCAGCAGTGTTATTCCTGAACAGACTTCAGATACAGTATGTTACCTACTGTGGCAACACACACATCGACTCCCAAACCAAATGTAATAGTTGTTAAGCTAGCCATGTACTATGTCATAGCACAGTACCGTACTTAAGTACAACTGTGAGGGACCTGTACTTTACTTGAGTATTTCAATATGTTGCTACTTAGTACTTCTACTCCACTACAGTTCAGAGGTAAATGGTGTACTTTTACTAGACTACATGTATGTAATACCTTTAGTTACTTTACAGATGTGGATGAATGATGTGAAAGATAATCAAGTGTTAAATCAGACTTTTTTTTTAAACTATATTTTGATGCCAATACTTGTGTACTGTTACTTAATAAATACTTTGAATGCAGGACTTTTACTTGTAAAAGAGTATACCTGCTCTTTAGAACTTCTACTTTTACTTAAGTACAACATCTGAGTACTTTTTCCACCTCTGGAAAACGCAAAACATAATGCAAAACTCTTAGAATAAAATGAGATAATGCACCTACCCATAATATGTAATGTGTGAATATAGAGGAAACCCTCGCCACTAAGGACAGACATAATGGTACTTACATGTCATTATGCAGTAAATAGAGCGACAGCAGCTGAGCGTACACTTGAGGTGTTGCAATGCCCCCTGGAGCCTGGTGAACACAAATGCAGGTGAGAAAGTAAATAGTGAAGCTACATATTAGCAAAAAACCAAGAGAGTATTTTCCACATCAATCCATAATGTAATTCACTGATAGACTAAGCTCCGTTGCGTGTGGTAGTGTAGCTGGGACATACCGTTCAGTCTGTTAAATCATGTTAGTGTGTTCTTTAGTTTTGGCTAACAGTATAGCATTGCCTCCATAGCGTTACCTTAGAATGTTGCCCTCAAAGTAATGAGTCAGTCACAAGGTTACAGTGAACCAAGCAACTATCTTTTACGTTATGCAGATAAATAAATACACTAGTTTTTGCTTCTCTTCACAAACAACGCCTGGCTATCAAATGTAAGCTAACTAGCTAGCTTGTTTCAAAAAGCAGATAGTAAAGCTAAACGTACTGTTTTTTTGTTGGCATTGTGAGTATAGCACTGATTCGTTTATGTCGTAGAACTCATAGAATCATTTACTTTGACAGTGACTGAGAGCAAAATCAGGGTTAGAGAAGTGAAAACAAGCTAGCTTATTAGCCATAACGTTAGCTACATCTGGTTAAGGGCTGGCTGTCAGAAACACTACTGTCATGCCTTCAAGCTAACCTGTAAGGCAACATTTATTGTTGTCACGAGAAATAATATATTTTGGGATTCAGTGCTTACCTCCAGCTCCTGAGCTTCACACTGCTCCAATACTTTATCATAATTTTCCTCCATAATCACAGCAGCAGGCATGTTGATGCCTAGCTGTTGCATCGGGAACTTCTTCTTCGCTGTGGATCAAAGCGGTAGATTAGCAGCCCGTCAGAGGCGTTGCTGCCCTCATGTGGGAGAAACAAGAACAAAACACCACCTCCAACAACATTCAAATAAAAAGACTCACTTAGAGCTTATACTCAATACCACAGGTACATTGTAATAAAATGTACAATAATAAAAAAAACAGCACTAGTAGTAGCTCTAGCATAGTTACAGTATAGTATGTTTCTTCTATTCTTTATTTATCTTTCTTTATTTATGCAATGTTTGCTTTATTTCTAATTTCCGGTGATTTAAAATAAATCATTGAATGTCATGAGATACAATGCACCATGGTTACAATTAAGTAGCAGTATATTTTATTTATTTAGTGAACATAGACAAATAAAGATAAACATAACATTATCAAATTGTAAATAAGTTGTAAAAATATAGAGATATTGCCTGTCACATATGCATGCAATGCATACAGAGTTAAGACTGTTACGACAGTATTGTAACATGCTTTACGGCATTTGCAAGTACTGCTTTACTACAGAGTAAGCCCGCCAGTTGTCATGTTTCTGCCTACTGTAATCTCTTGACTTACTGCTGAATAAACCTGAGTCATAAAAGATACTCGACCCTCGATCATTCTACATTGCAGTCAGCGTTATTGCTCATCAGTGATTTTACACTCTGTATTATGTATCGAGAGGTCTGACCGCTGAATGAAGGAAGGACATGCGGTTTATGAAACATCAGGCAGCAGCCTGTCACTGAAGGAGCTGCACACTGCATACAGGGTCCTGGAGGGCGGGGGGGGACATGTTGTCCAACGGTGAAGACAGCTTAGTCATCACTCCCCCCCCCCCCTCCCACAGTATCCAGAGGACCCCCCAACAGAGCCGGCCTTCTTCATGTGAGAACTTGAGAAGTTGGTTAAGGTAATATTTGTTATCTTTTTGTTTTTGGCCATTCTAGATTGTATTATTTAGATGTCCCATGGCCCACCTTTGTTACTTCCAGGAGAGCAGAAAATAAAATAAAATCTGATCTCTATGGATACCCTCACCTGAAATTTCAAACAAAAAAACTGTGAAGGAACAGAAATTCTACATTTCAGGTGTGATCAGACACCTTTTGTTCATATCCTGTATTTATTCTAAACCCCACCACAACACTGAGATCCTCCTCTGAGTGTGGACTAGAGATGGGCGAGTCCTGATTCATCCGGATCATTAACCCGGATCCTAGTAATGAGCTGGTCGTGACGAGTCTCCCCTCTCCATTAACCCGAGTCCTTTGAGTCCCACACTTGGTGTGACGTACAAATTAAAACTATAAATTGCGTCACTCGCTACTCTCTTTATAACATGTAAAATCACATTACAACGTACCCCAGTCCATCTGCCTAGCCTTTAGCAAGTAGGATAGCTGCCAGAAGTGATTGTTTGGCTCAGGGGAGGGGACGCGGATCAGTGAAACTTCCTGCAGACTCGTGGGGACTCAGAGGAGCCGACGGCTCCTAACCGTAATAGCATAGCAGATCCAGAGATCCATACTCGTCATGTGCACGAGCATAGCCTCTCCTCCAGCACCCGGCTCCCGCCGCTATATTATGCACGAGTCAACAGCAGACTCAGAGATTCGCAAATCCTGACTCACTGTGCAAAACATAGCAGACTCGTGCGGACTCAGAGCCGTAACCGTATAGCAGCAGATCCAGAGATCCAGCAGACTCGTCCTCATGCACGATTCAACAGCAGACTCAGATTCGCTAAATCGCATATCGTGATCAATATGTTTTATTAAAGCAAAAGACACCACTTTACACACATTTAACACATACAAACACCAGTATTGCAATGATTACGCAGTCCATGAGAAAATATGGGGGGCATATGATTAGATATAATTATATGTTTAATAATAATAATTGTATAATTAAGACATTTTATATATTCTAACTGTTTTGCAATTTTCTATCATTTGTCATTGTTTGTTTCTTTTTGTGTGCTATGTTCAAAATAAATGTTTTGCCAAGTAAGATCCTTATTGGAAATGCAGCTATTACACGCAGGAGACTGTTGCACAACATGACAATTTTGTTAGAAGTCTACACTGAAACTTCATTTAGAGCCGGAAACATAATGGACTTAATCAAAATCGCAGGATCCGTGAATCCAGGTCAATGATCGAGAGAGACCAGTAACCTACGAGTTAGTCAGCGGAACTTCACAGACTCAGATTCGCAAATCCTGACTCACTGTGCAAAACACAGCAGACTCGTGCGGACTCAGAGCCGTATATAGCAGCAGATCCAGAGATCCAGCAGACTCGTCCTCATGCACGAGTCAACAGCAGACTCAGATTTGCCAAATCGCAAAATAACCCTTTTTTTTGTGATCAACATTTTTTATTAAAGCAAAATACACTGTGTAGCGGAGGTTAATATAACGTCAGTTTAATATGCTCGTGAAATGCAACAACTTTTCGGTTTCACCGATAGGATTTCTACGGTCTTGGTGATGCTGACTCATATGACTCAAATGACTCGTATGATCCGGATCTCTTCAATGACTGACTCAGAAGACCCTGAGTCCGTAAAAGGATCCGGATTTGCCATCTCTAGTGTGGACTGTTCTACCAAAACATTTGTAAATCACAACTGGATGCTACATTGCACCTCTCCGATACAGCCGTATGTGGAGACTGACTGCTGACTATCACAACAAGTCAACATGAGAACACACACAGAGGACCTTCTCTGGACCTGCAGTGAGAAGCGTGTTGTGGTCCAGTCTCATTCAGGCTGTTATTTCACCCTCAGATTCCTTAAGATAGTTGTTTCCTTTAAATAAATGACAACAGTATATTTGGAGGATTCAGTGCACCTGGTGAAGTGACAGTGCTGAGGAAGACTCTTTCTCTTTAACTCTCTAATGATCCTGTCTGCCGCTGCCGGGGATTTCTCTATTTCAATCCCTTCTGATCTCTTCCTTTTCTTTGATGCTGATGGCTGCATACATTTTTCCTCCACTTTGGAAAATGTCTTGGCACCACAGACAGAATAATGTGCAATAATGGGAATACAGTTTTTCACTTTCTTTTGTTATTGTTGTTGTTTTTATAGAGAAAAAAGATTGCATTCCTGATTCCTCCTGTTCTCAGGCTTTGTGTTCTATACCAGGCATAAGGTGTGACATTTCTATGCATTTATTTCATTTTATTGCAACCAAATGTGGGAATATAATTTTTCAATTCAAAGACTTTCACCCCAGGGAACAACTATGCTTTTTAAAAAACTTTTCCGAAACCAAAAAGAACATTCTATATTAACATTAGATCATTAATAACAGACCTCAACAGTCAGGGTGGAGTGTCCAGGTACATGATTTTCCTATTTTTTTACTTACATTACACTTTTATAATTTCATTATGTTGCTTGCAGAGTGCTTTGTTGATTAGACGCCTGCAGCTAGTCCAGAACGCAGCTGCACGTCTACTCACTGGCCACAAAAAGCGTGACCACATCACCCCAATTCTGGCCTCACTGCACTGGCTTCCAATTCGGTTCCGAATTGATTTTAAACTCCTTTTATTTGTTTTTAAAGCACTAAATGGGCTGGCTCCGGCCTATATAGCTGAACTCCTCCAGCGCTACACCCCAACAAGAGCTTTAAGGTCTGCTGACCAGCTGTTGCTGATAGTGCCCAAGACCAGGCTCAAAACCCGAGGGCACCGAGCCTTCGCAGCAGCTGGCCCGAGGCTCTGGAACACTTTGCCCCTCCATGTGAGGTCGGCCCAGACCCTAGGGGTTTTTAAATCATCACTAATGACACACTTTTTCTCTCTGGCCTTCTAGTCAGAGCGGAGCACGACTCCTGACTATTCCCTGTGTTTTTGTTTTTTATATTTCAGTTTTTATTGTGATTGTAGTAAAGTGTTTTTATTACATGTACAGCACTTTGGCTCGACCAAAAATCGCTTTTAAATGTGCTATATAAATAAAACTTGATTTGATTTGATTTGATTTGATAATGAAATGACTAATGACAAAGCTTAACATGCCCGCTAAGTACACGTTAGGAATATTTTGTCCCGGAAAGAGGAACAATATGGCAAATGATGATTAATATAGTTATTATAGAAACGATGCGAGAGTGTTTAATAAGCTGTTGTAGAAGTTACCCTGATGATTTCCATTAAAAAGACATACATTTGACACTAACTTATTGAAGAAGTAAGGGCTTAACAAAGTACCAATAGTTATTTCATGCTCATGTAAAACCCTTTAGGACAGAATAAATCGGACTATTCTTCAGACATGAGCAAAGAAAGATTGGCGCAAGATACAGGCCAACAGGTCAAGGCTTTTCGAGGTGTGAGCAGAAACATGACATTAATGTAAAGCCAGTGTAGTAGCTATGGGAACGCTTTTAAAAAGGAACCATATACTCACGCTGAAGAGAAATTTGTATCTGTCGAAAAGGCCAACAAATAAAGTATTGTTCTGTGAGATTCATTCCTCAAGCAGCCTTTTCAAAAGACTTGGTTATTATAGTACAAACCATTCTACCTTAAATTGCTGCTTATTTCAACTGCAATGGCTAACCCAGTTGTAGCAGGTTGTGTGTTACAGTGTGGATCTCAGCATACTCTCCTGCTGGGAGAATCCTTTCTGATTCAATCCACATGAAAAAAAATACTGCCGGCTACAGACGAGCCTTTTTCATGACAAAAAGAGGACCTGAAGCTTTCGTACAACTTCCAAAACCATCTTTAAACACTGCAATAGATCATTGTTTAACAAGGTTCCTTAGATTTAGTTTACAAGGCATCGTTGCTATGTTGGTGTGATAAATCCTTTTGCGTTATTTTGGAATAAACATGTGGTCAAATATGATTTCCATGACTTTAAAATGTCAGATTGATCAAACACAACATATGATCAATCTGAACTGGATAAGAATAGACTTGTAGCTGAGCAGTACATGTAACGTGTATTATTCTGCGATGGCTGAAGACGCTGAGTTCGGTTTACAAGGCCCTGCTGTTCTCAGATCCTCTTTGT